ATATAATATAAGTATTATAATATATATAAAATAATATAATATATAGTATTATAATACTTAATATACTATATTATATTATAAAGTAATATAATAGCATTATAATATTAAGTAATAATAATATATGATAAATATATAATATTTATATATCATATAATAAACTCTACTATAGTATAATATATAATATATTATATCATATAATAATATATATATATATATTATATTAATATACTATAGTAAGTCAAGTCGAGTAAAATGAAACGATGAACTTTTCTTTTTTCTTACGAAACTATATAAACAATCTCGATTAATCGATTTTAATTAATTTTATTCTTGCGTGCCTCTTGATCAACATGATAAACGATCGTGAGAACGTAAACATGAAAATACAAAAATAAATGACTCGATTTAAAGATATTACATTACGAATGTAATATCGATCGAATTGTATTATATTATATTTTAAAAAATCGACGACGAGTATTCGAAGAGTGTAAAAAAAAAAAAGAAAAAGAAAAAGAAAAACAGAGAAGAATTGAATCCACTCGAATCCAGTTGAAGTTTTTGCACGACCATTATTTTCGACTACATGAGCATTCACCCGTTATCGGGCAACAAAATTGGCTTTCATTTATTCCCCAACGCAACGGTTGTTTCGTTATTAATCCCACATTTCGTTATTAAACCGCGATATGATTTCATGCACTTGTTTACAACATGTTTTCTGTTGTAATTGCAACTCGAGGTTGCACGAAAAGGTAATAATATAAGACCTGGATCCGATTAATAAACCGGTTAAAATACTTTCTTTCTTTCTTTTTTTTTTCGACGAAGCGACCAATTTTTGACGCACGATGCACGATCGATCTGGAAAACGAGCCGAAAAATTGCAAACTTTCAATCGAACGTGCACGTAAAAATAATCCAATTCTTCCATATGTAACATGATTACACATTCTCTGTGTATTGGATGGAAACAATATATTTCATCGTTTCAAAATTTCCTATTATTTAACAGGTATACATTCTCGATAGCCTATTTTCTTCGAAAGAAATAACCTTCCCTTATTTTATCACGCGATTGAATCTTTTCAATGTGGAGCAATTTCTAAAATTTCAACAAATCGTATCCTCTTTATTTGATATCACGTCGTATAATCTTTATATTTGATCACATTTTAATTTAAATGAAACCTTATATTTCTTTTGTCCTTTGCGATTGATATTTAAACGATTAGTTAGAAATGTATGTAAATACTTTATAAAAGTATTTATAATAAAAATATGAAATGTATCATGTTCAATTCGCAGAATTAATTAAGAAGGGATTAATAGTACATTGGACTTAGAAAGGAAGATAAAAATAATGAAAGAGTGATAAATTTATAAATTTCCGTAATATGTGAAGCATATTCGTAACGAGAGACGCCATCTTGAAAATGGATAAAGCGTTTGCAGACACACGTTTCTTTTCTTACTTTTACTTACTTATATTGTTGCATTTCGTTTAATCCACGATAAAATTCACGATAAATTCCTCGAACACATTTAACGAAATTCAATTACGATGCATGTAAAATAGTAGCATCTTGGAGACTGATAACAGTGCTTCTATTTAAAACCGTAAATCCAATTCATCGAGACCGTTTTATTGCACCATTTTAGAGAGAATATTCTTCCTTCGAAGAGGATCGAATGGAGAATTATTTTTCAGAAATCTTCAAACATTTTTTTTTTTTTTTTTTTTTTTACAATTATATCGATATCAATTAGAGATCTTTTCGTACGATCTGTTTGATTCGACATTTTTTCAAAAATTGAGTCTCCCTATCTCGTGATTTTCGTCCGAACGAAAATTGAAAAATTTTTCGATAATTAAGAGAGAGAGTTTTACGTTACTCTATGATAGTTGGCTCGTATGCCAAGTAACCTACATACAAGCCATTAACTACTATAAAATACAATTTATAGAATGGTATATCGCTATAAATTAATTCTGGAAAGCACCCATAGAATATTTGGCTCGACCCAGTAATTGTAATATTTCGATCTCTTGGAATATAATTTTGCGAAACAAATTTTTCATCTTATCGATGTTTTCGAAAATAATTAAGATTAAAAAATCGAATCGTCACATTTTATTTCGAGTCAAATTTCTTCCACATCTATCCATGCATTTCATCCTTTCAAAATTTCCAATTCTCTGCAAAAGAAGAGAGAGAGAGAGAGAGAGAGAGAGAGAGAGAGAGAGAAGGAGAGTATTATTTCCCCTATATTGGTCGTTTGCGAGGAAAAAACGAGGAAAAGTCTAAAATCAACTGACGATTTTTCGATTCTTTCCAATTTTCCTTGGACGTCATTCGAACGAAAAGAATCGTTAGAGATCAGCCATTCCAAATTAATCTTTTGGTAAAAAGAAAAAAAGATTCAAATCGTTTAAAATAAAAATCGCATAAAATCAATCGTGAAAATCGAATTGAATATTTCAACAGAGTTTTTAGAATGTTTTTTTCCAAACAAAATTCAAACTCATTTAATATATCGTAAGATATTAAGATATTATTTTAAAATATATCCAGGCTTGTCCAGACAGACACGTGAAATTACGTGATATTTGCACATAGGTGGAACACAACTCGGTTAGACGTTAAACCGAGCTATAATTTCTAATTATACATTTAATATACATTTACCAGGTATTTGCCACACCTTCTCGTAAACTAAATTCACTAGTGAAACATCGTAATGGTAATTGGTAGTTGTGACCCGATTCCTTGATCTTTTTCAACTTTTTCTTGACACGTATCACGTTGAAGGCGATGACAGATTTAATTTTAATTATCTTTCCTCGTCTCTGTGACAAAAAATGCTGAAGAAGAAGTTCAACGAAAGATCGGTCGATCGATCCAAAAATTCTTCGCAGTCGTTGAACACGTATTCAAAGAGATTAATAACGCGGAAACGAAAACGTCATCAATCATTAATAAAATTATCGATTAAAATTTCACAGATTTTTTTTTAAAAAAAGTTTTCGCGCACGTGTGCATAAACATAAAGATTTCATATTCACGTTAATTTCATGCTTCGTCGGATTATTTTGAAACAAGCGGATCACAAAAGTTTTTCATCCATGTTCTTTTAATTCTCCCTTATACGACGTCTAAATGATCTCTATATAAATTTTTATACGATCGTACGAGTTATTCGTGATGTTAGAATTTTATAACCGAGTAGATTATTATCCTCAAGGAACAAGGAAAATTGGACTTTGAAATTTTATTAATTGTTATTATTATTATTATTATTATTATTATTATTGTTATTATTATTATTACGATTTGATCGAAAATATAATTTTTTTTTAAATATTTATATAACGGAATGTATCGTTAAATCGTTATATTTTTATAGCAAAAATTTTAAAGCTGATGTATGCATGCTTTACTAAATTTCTCGTGATAACAATTTAATCATTCTTCTGTGTTTCTTCTGTGTTTCAAAAAGATATTTTTTTTTTTTTTTTTTTTTTAAAGTTGAATGCCAGTATTTCAGCGCGGTTTTTTTTTAGACGGAAGTTTCCTCTGAAGGCAACACCTGCTCTTGATGCAACTTCTCTGTACCGCTCTCGTCGTGAAAGTCCGATAGTTCTCCTATGGCTGTATAATGTATTCCTCGGAGAACGGAAGATAATTTTCAAAGGAGCGAAAATATTTGAAAAAAGAATTCTTTTAAAGGGGAAAAAACGAGAATTTTCTTCGAAAAATGTTGTTCCCCTTATAAATTCTTTAATCCATGAATAATCACGAACTCCGTGCACCAAGATATTTTACGATCTTATGGAAAGAAAATGAAATTTCTTTTGTTAAATCTCGCGATTCAATTTCACATATTATTATTTTTCAAAATAATTTTTAAGCTCTCTTTCTTCTTTCCCCCTTTAAAATCTCTAAAAATAATAATTATTACGAAAATAAATTTTTCTTTTCGAGGGCAAGAGTCGAGTAAAAAAGAGAGAGAAAGAGAAAGATATCTTAGGATTTATGGATCAGATCGTATAAAATTTTCGATAAAACGAAAATTTCTTTTGTTCCGCACACGTACACGTTAAATCTCGCGATTCAATTTCACATATTATTACTTTTCAAAATCATTTCTAAACCTTTTTCTTCTTTCTCTCTGTAAATTTTTAAAAATAATAATTATTGCGAAAATAAATTTTTCTTTTGAACGGCAAATAGAAGAGAGAGAGAGAGAGAGAGAGAGAGAGAGAGAGAGAGAGAGAGAGAGAGAGAGAAAACACGTCAATCAAGCGATCGTTTAATTAAATGAACGCGACGAGCGGGAAAAAAGACAAGGGAAATAGTATTGCATAGGAATACGAGACCATCTTCTTCCCCAAGTGGTCCTATTGGATTTCGATTAACCGACAAAGAAGACTCGTTTTCTTCCATACATCGAGTGTCCATCTCACCGGTAACAATGTTCCACGATGACCCTCGGCAACGACCGAGGAGATATATCCAAGAAAGAAGAAAAAGTTTTAATCGTGGGCGGTGGATTGGACTTCCAGAAATCAATCTCCCTTCCCTACGCGCGATTATAAATTAAAAAGCGCGCCACCTCGATCAAGAAAACAAGGAAATGACGAGCGAAGATAATAGCAAAAAATAGTATTAATCGAGGGGATTGAGATGGTCGAGCCCACGCACGGAGTCGAAAAGCGATCGATTAATGAATGAGTGGCGAGACTCGCACGCTCTTGCGTGTATAAATTTCTAGATCCAAACGATGAGATAAGTTAAAAAAAAAAATGCAAATTCTCGAGGAAAATTTCATCGAGTTGGATGGATCAAGCGAACCTCCTTGTACGATACATCTTCTCGTAAAATACGAATGTGAAATTGTATTCTTGGAAGTCTGGTTATACGAATAAAATGTGCAATAGATGGCCTGTTGAGATTCTACTTTCGACGGACGAAGTTGAATCGCTTGAATACGTTGGAATGTCGGTGTAACCGCGCTCATCCCGTGACGCGTATAATAATGGCACAATGATACAATTTCATAGGCGAGTGGCTCCGTAAAGTGGGGCCGGACAATGACGAGTTAAATTCCGTTGGACCGAACTTTAAGATGGAGTTCAAGCGCGGTTGTCAAACTTTGGACAACGGTGGACACACGATTTCCTCTTTCTGCTCTTCAAACTTTCGCTAGCTGTCGAAAATTGTTTAAGCGGCTTTAACGCGAAAGAGGTTGCTCGAGAGGTTTCGTTGTAATTGCTTTATGCAGTTCGAACGAATTTTTCTCTTTTCGTTTTACGACGAGAAATAAAAATCGTGGGCATTAAATGGACATTTCGTAACAGGATTGTCAAGATCACGGTGTAAATTATATTACGAATATAAAAAAATATGTATATCCTTTTATCGAAAAGAATTTAGATTAAATTCGTTCGCGGAAAAGATATAATTCCACTTTGAGTAATAAGCTCTATTTTAGCCGCATGACTCGCGAGTAAAAGAATTAGAATTTAAGGGAATTGACTTGCCTGGTTTCGAAAACGAATATTCTACTATTTTATGAATTTTTCTCTTCCATCTTGATTTTCCTATCTATTTTTATATATATTTCACGACAATTATACACTTTTTTTAAATAATTTCCTTCGATTAATTCTGATTGAAAAAAAAAACAAGACGTTAGTTAAATAAATATGAACGTTGTTTTTTTTAGGTGGTAAAAATGATGATCGTGGTGGTACTAATATTTGCGATATGCTGGTTACCTTTTCACGTATACTTCATCATAACGTCGTATTTTCCGGAGGTTACGAATGAATCGTATATCCAAGAAGTTTTCTTGGGTATTTACTGGCTTGCGATGTCTAACAGCATGTATAATCCCATAATCTACTGTTGGATGAATTCCAGGTAAAATATTACTTTATAAAACATCATGTAAGTACCTTTGTAAATAAATATGAATTAATTAAAAAATTTCTTAGGTATTCCATGATCAGGATGATTTTCAATAAAATTTCACTTTGCTTAAAAAAAATGATTGGCAAATTTTCCTCGTTGCACGTGTAAATTCGTTTTAATAATTACGTTAATCAAAAGTGCAAAACATTTTAATTATTATTCGATAATTCAATAATCAAAACTTAATCGATCTTAAGTTTTCAACTAGTAATAGTTTTTAGAACTTTATTGATTTCGATATCGTCGCTGCGTCAAAACGTATCGTACTTTAAATTAAAACTGCTCTTTAAGGTTAATTTTCACTCGCTATTTATGTTTCGTCATGTGTAAACAATTTTCACACGTACGCGCGATATGTATATTTAAAATTGATTTATTATCATTTAAAAAAAAGAATAATTTCAAATTTTATCGAAAAATCCATAGTATATCCATCATAAAATATAAATTTTAATTGCGGTTTGGTTGATACCATATATACATATATCTATATATATCATATATCAAAAAACCGCACGAACCGTCGAAGACAAATCCAGACAACATTGTTTGTCCCACAAACTGAATGAAACGGGTGCCAGGTGATTGATTTGAAAATAGCCATTTACCAGAATCCCTTTACACGTCATACACAGGAATTGTTTCGGTGAAATTCTAGCGATGCACACCGGTATCATCGTTTCGTACCAAACAACTAAAATACTACTGTCCGTAACGAACAATTTCCTCACAATAGGCCAATAGTTCTCGTCCTACAACACTCGTTCGCCTATACTCACGAAAAAACAAAAAAAAAAAAAAAAAAAAAAAGAAAGAAACGGAAAAAAAAAACTCTTTCACTTTCCAATAAAATATTACCTATTCGTTTGAAATGTACCGTTTCTCCACCGATATTTTCCCTCGAAAAACTACGAGGTTAGATTAAACCTCTGTCCAATTTCTACAAGAATTTTTCAATTACGAAAAATATAAAAGCGTCTAAAATTGAAACAATAAAAATTCGTTTTTTGAAAATGAAAATTTGATCAATAATAATTAAACAAAGTCTTTTTCTCAATACTTCGCAGATTTCGACGCGGATTCGCCCATTTTTTCTCCTGGTGTCCTATGGTAAAAGTTCCGCCCGAGCCCTCGTTATCACGATCGGAGGCGTTAACGTCGCGATACAGTTGCACAGGAAGTCCTCAAACGAACACAAGGATATCACGGAACGGTACGTCCTCGTCCACGTCTTTGGAACGCTCTTGCACAACATCGTCTACAATGGCATCCACGAGCGAGTCACGATTCGAGCACGATGACACCCATACGGACGCGCAAAATTCTTACATAGATTTGCACGACCTCGCCACAGCCAATGCCAAAGCCAATGAATCGCGAGACGAAATAGAGTAACGAAATTGACACGACGACTCTGAAAATTGATTCGTTCGGTAACAGGTAGCTTTTAACAACTTTACGTACGAATCGAACGAATCGAGAAAAAGAAAAAAAAAACATCTCGATCGGTATTTTCACACGAGCTCGATCGATAAGAAAGAAATCATTACAACTCAGCGTATAAACGTATATTATTTGCATATATGTTTCATTATGAACGATTCATAAATGAATTTATGAAGTAAGAAATCAACTTTTGTGTAGATGCAATATATCTTTATGTTAATTAATGCCTGATCGAATTTATGCATCTAGAATTCTTATTTATAAATGAAAAATCCTTCTTCCTAACGAGAAAAATTAGTTCCTAAATTCCAAAATACAATTTTACTGTATCATTAGAAATGTAAAAAGAAAAAAAACTATACTATTAATATATCGATACAAATAAGATCGATTTTTAATTTTTAATAGGTACGCCGCGAATACATATGTGTCTACGATCGAGAGGAGGAAACGATCGATTTTTGGCTGAGCATCGAGGAAGGAAATGGAAAACCTCGCAAACTATGGGTCACGTGTCTTGACAGGAAGAAGAAAGCGCTCAGCAACGAGTACATACCTGGATATAAGAGTACATATCCATAAAAAGTCGACCTCTTCAAGATTCATCGCGAATGAAATAGAGAGAGATTGAGGAGCCGTTAAATTCTAGATCATAACGCACGCAGACCTGTTATGATCAGATCAGATCAGACCAGAAAGCTCAAATAATTGTTCACTATGTTCAATAGAAACGTTAACTATCCGCTATTAGAATAAATATTTCCGTTTCGATGTAAACTACGCTGAATCGAACGCGACGATGAAAATCAAAGGATTCATAAAAAAAAAATGATCTTTTTTGCATTTTTATTTTTTATCGATAGATTTGATAAATAAAAAAAAATTTAAAAATTCTTTTAAAAACTATTAATTTTACAAACTATTATACGATAGTGATAATTATATTGCCGAACAAATTATAAAGTTGTGCACTTTATGATTCTAATAAGAATCTTCTTATTTAGAAGATTTTTTATTTGGAACGTGAATCAAAACTTTGCTTCATACATTTAACTTTATGAAAAAATAAAATATTTTCATATTTTTTTTTGCTTATATTGTTATAGCACAATATAAGAAGATGAAAAGTTAAATTTACATTAAAACATACTTAGTTATATTACATATAAGTTAAATTGTTTAGTGTATGTATGTATAAACATTAACGGACCAATAATCTACCTACTGCTATCTGCATATGTTTATGAAAAAGTTTCCTTTTTCTAACAAAAATAGAATTTTAATGAGAAATTTATAAGGACATAGATCATGATATAGTAGTTTAATGTGTGCAGTTTTGTAAAACATAAACTGCTTAATTAATTCTTCCTACTACTAAGTGTTCCTACTGTGTATTGGTATAATAAATCTAATAGGAAAGAATACTAATTTTCATCGAACGAAAATGTTTTCTATTTCAGATAATAGTTTCTTTAAAAAATGAAAAGTCTATATTTTTAATGAAATTTTGCTACTTAAACAAGCTTATATCTTGTTTGATTTCAAGTATTATTGTTTAAAAAAAAAAATAACGAAAATATTATAATTAATATAAAAAATATAGATAATGTTCTATTACAATTTAAAAATAGTTATGATAAACATTTTCGTTCTAAAAATGAACAAATGTATTTATGAATAAATGAATAATTTATGGAATAATTATTTTGTTGAAAATATATTTACTTAATTGTTTGTATAATCTGATTTGTATCTTAATATTTCATTTATCAATAATTTATAATTTTTTCCAATTTTCAAATAAATCTAATAAAATTCTTAAAATTTTTGAGCGAAAGTGTATATTTACTTTGGTTGTCTATACCATATATTTATTTAAATAAATTGTTATATACAAAATGTTAATAATATATAAATGCTAAATACATCGTAAAAATTAATCATTAATGTTATAATTCTTTGTAAAAATAAATTTAGTTTAATATATATAATATTTTAATACGAAAATTATTTTTTTTTTTTTTTGATTAAAAAAGAAATAATGTATATTTAGTACTGACAATGTTTTGCAAACGTTGTTCGATTATTACATTTAATTTATGTATTTATATCAAACAAAAGAAATAAAAAATTTTTTTTTAAATCGGCCAAACTGAAAACTAAGTGAATTAATAATTATTTCAATATTAATCGATATTATTTATATTTTCCACTGTAACGCTGTACGGAGGAAGAACACTCTGGGAAAAATAAACGCTTTTTAATATAATAGTTAAGTCTAAATGTATGTGTAACTACATATATTAAATGTATTGAAAAAAGCTTAAGCTTGGTAAAGTGAGAAGAGAATATATTATTTGATATGTTTAAAAATATGTGAATAATAATACGAGAGACTGCTTCTTTTTGCAGGGAAAAGCTTCCTAAAAATTGTACTTTCATCATAAACAAATAGTATAAAAATTAAGAAATGAAAATATACGATATTAAAAGAAATAATTAATGTGATTTGTATCTATTTTATAAAAAATACATTGATTTAGATGCTGAAATATAAATGACATATCCTGTATGTATAAATATATAGATGTTTTTATCCTGTATTAATTAAATCACTGATTAAAATTTTACATATATTATTATTTTTGTTTATAGAATTGTTTATAGAAATTGTTTATAGAAATTATATTTCTATAAAAAGCAAAATATTTTTCAAATAAAATTTTATATTTATTTATGATTTTCACAATTCACACATTTTTATTATATTTTAATTTACTTCTGTTTTATCTTCTATATTAATTATTATAATAATATAAATATGTTAAAATGGCTTATAATACTTATTCATAAAATTAATTGATTTATTAAATAACTAACAAATTTTTGGGAAAATGTAACTATAATTTTCTATAAAATAAAAAAACCCAAAAGTATATATATTTTCATTATATTAACATAAATTAATATAAGTAATTTTACAAAATTATCCTATGAAATAGTTAATCAATTAACAATATCTTTTTCATATTTATCTATTTTATCCCACTCACCATAATTAAATGAAAATGGAAACATTCTATCAGTATATAAATGACCCTAAAAAATAATAAAATATATTATTAAATATAATATATTTATATAATATATTTATATAATATATTTATATAATAATAAATATATAATTAAATATAATATATTTATATTATTTTTTATTAATCTTTTAATTCTTAGCATGATAAGGCTAAATAAAGCTATAGACAATAAATGTACAGTAAATTTTGATGATATAATCAATTAAAGAAATGAAAAACTATAATATATATAATATAATAGTTAAAAAAACAAATGATCAAATAAAATGATAAGGGAAAATATACTTACTTTTAAATGATCCATTTCATGATGAACAATTCTAGCTAACCAACCTTCTGCTTTCATAGAAAATGGTTCTCCAAATTTATTAAGAGCTTCAATTTGAACTTCTTTTGGTCTTGGTACTTCTGCATAATAACAATGAATACTCGCACATGTTTCAAAATGTACAATTTCTTCAGAATTTATTATTTTCATTTTTGGATTAATAAAATATGTTAATGGATAAGGTATGATATCATAACATTTTCGTATATATGGATGAATACATTTTACAGATTCTTCTGTCACTTCAATAGCAAATAATTGCCAAGGTAAGCCAATTTGTGGTGCTGCTAATCCTACTGTATCATATTTTTTTAATAATTTATATAAATGATCAAGTATCTACAATAAAAAAATTAATATGAATTTGTAATAAAATAAATCATATAATTGAAAAAAATACCTTTATTAATTATATAATTTTTAAAGTAAATATTTTTATTATAAAAATCTTTTTCATTAGATATAAGATAGAAGTATTATTATATATATCTAATGAAGTATTATTAAGTTTAATTTTATAATTTCTATATTTTCTTATAATGCGAGAATAAATTTCAATTTAAAACATTAATTTATTATCTTAAGTATTTTAATAAGAAAACAAAATTATTTACAATTTATTTTTTAAATTGAACAATTATTTAAAGATATAAATTAATAAAATATAAAAACATACTTTTTGAAATTCTTGCGTTTGTATTATTTTTTCATCTATAAATGATGTTTTCTGTCTTAAAACAGGATTACCAACTTGACAAATAAAATTATAAGGAGGTTTTGTAATTTCAGGTGTTTCAGTCAAATATATTTCACAAAGTTTTTTTAAACTTTGAAAACTAAATGCACATGTATTATTTTTTTGCAAAGTCTTTATAGATCTATTGACTATATTAAAACATTTGAACATTATTTTGATTATTGTTTTACAGTATTCGTAAGAATTTTTGATAGAGTCGAAAAGGTTAAACTTCTATGATGATGTAATAGATATGTTGGTACTATGATTTAACGGATCATATATTATATGATATAACGGATCATCAAATATATTATTAAATATTTTAATGGAAACATGATTTTAGTTTCTCAAAAATGTTTTAAATATATATTAATATATATTAAAAAAATATATATTAATATATTTGTTTTGTTTTTATAAATAATAATAATATTAAAATTTTAATATTAATAATAAAATTATAAATAATGATAATAAAAAATTTTATTACTTAATTTGCTTTTAATAAAAATTTTTTTATTGTAATTAAAATTATATAATAATTAATTATGAAATATTTAAAAATATTTTTTTCTCCTTATTTTCTTAATTTTAACCTTAATATTTGTTACGTCATAAATAATATTTATTATATTATTATAACATAATAATAACATAACATAACTATTTTATTATAATGTAATATTTACAATTAACTCATTATTTAATTATAATTAATATAATATTTAATTATATTTTCAATATTTTATTTTTATATTTAAATATTGACAGTTAAATCATATTTTACATACCATTAATGTATTTACATATTTCGTCAATAAAATTTCGATGTATTATTACGTAATGATTTCATCAATACAATTATCATTTTATATTACGTATTACATATTAAAAAAATAAGAATATCAACATACAATTTGATAACCTATATTAATATACCAAATTTGTTTGTATTATTTGTTGTGTGATATTTTATATCTATATTAATATTTCCTATTTTATACTTAATATAATCGTATAAAATAAATATTCAAGAATCAAAATGGTAATTATTTTTTATATAAAATTTTGTAATCAAATCACAATTAATATTCTTTTTTTTATTAGATAAAAAATAGTGCATTAAAATTAAATTGTGTGGGTGGTAATTCAATTAATACTCTAAGGTATTTATCAACACAAACTTCAGGTGGAGGTAAGGATACAGGTTTAAAATTTGCTAATCAAAATCCAAAACCTATTATATTACCTGAAACAGAACCATCAGAACCATATCCAACTGCTCCTTATCCTCAAAGAACTCCTATAATAGAAATACCAGGTTTTTGAAAAATTTTTAAATTTTTAATTTTTAATAATGTTAATAAAATATGTTAAATATGTTAAATATGTTTAATAAAGAATTTTAAAGATAGATTATGAATTAAGTATTAATAATGAATATACTGATATATAAATTAATTAAAATTAATTATTAAAAAAATAATTTAGGTCCTATAGTAGAACCTGCACTTCCTCAACCATTACCTCAACCCCAACCTCAACCTCAACCTCAACCTCAACCTCAACCTCAACCAGATTCTTTACCACCTCTTGAAATTCCAGTACCTCATAAAAGTGCAATTGCAGGCAAGGAAGCACAACAAACAAATATAGAAAATGATGTCTTATTTAAAGAAGTATGTATATCTATAATTATAAAGTTAATAATATAAATTATATATTTATAATAAATATATTTTTTTTAAATAAGGTTGGAAATAAAGGTATTATTATATTGAATCGTCCAAAAGCACTAAATGCTTTAAATTTATCAATGGTTGAAAAAATATATCCAGTACTTAAGAAATGGGAATCATCTAAAAAATTAGTGATAATTGAAGGTGCAGGAGATAAAGCATTTTGTGCAGGTGGTGATATAAAATCTATTGCTAATGAAATAAGAGATAATGATAATAAAGTCTTAGGTGAAACATTTTTGAAAAAGGAATATACGTAAGTTTCAAAACATTACTTTAAAGTATATTATTAAATATTTTAGAATTATATAAATTTAAGAATTATTCAATTAATTTATTAAATCTTTCATATATAATCTTTCATAAATATATAGCTTAAATCATCTCATTGGTACATATAAAATACCATATATAGCAACAATAAATGGAATAACTATGGGAGGTGGTGTTGGAATATCAGTTCATGGTAAATATCGAATTGCTACAGAAAAAACATTATTTGCAATGCCAGAAACAGAAGTTGGATTAATTCCTGATGTTGGTGGAACTTATTTTTTACCTAGACTAAAAGGTAAATTAGGACTTTATCTTGGATTGACTGGAGATCGATTACAAGGTATGAAAAATTATTAAATTCATTAATACATATTTTAAATGTTTTATATTATAAATCATAATTTTATATTATATTAGGTATTGATGTATTACTTGCTGGTATTGCAACACATTTTATTCCTTCTGAGAAACTACCAAATTTAAAAGAAGATTTACTGATGACTGATAAATCTGATATTAAAGAAATCTTAAATAAATATCAATCTAAAACATTGAATCAAGAATTTTGTTTAGCACCATATATGAGTAAAATAGATAAATATTTTTCTGCATCATGTATAGAAGAAATTATAGAGAGGTAAACTGATATATAATGATATATAATAATAATTATAAATATGATATATAATTTTACTTTAATAATTAGATATATATATATATATATATATATGCGTTTAATATAGTTTAATTAATTATATATATATATATAATTTATTATATTTTAAAATATTTACTTATTGCAAATTTTGATGAAGATTAAAAGAAGATAATTCAGAATGGGCCAAAAAGACATTGCAAATGTTATTAAAAGCATCTCCTACTGCTCTAAAGTTTACAATGTGTGCTATTCAAAAAGGAAGCACATTGAATTTGGCAGATTGTTTAAAGATGGAGTTTAGATTAATGTGTAATTTTTTTAACAAAACTAGTGATTTTTGCGAAGGTACTTATAAATATGTATTATTCATTTATAATTATATATTTATTATCTTTAAAAAATAATTTTATATAACTATTATTATTATTAATATAATTATTAATCTTATAGGTGTCAGAGCCGTTTTAATCGATAAAGATAGAAAACCAAAGTGGAATCCCAAAAACTTAATAGAAGTAACAGACAATTATGTAAATCAACAATTTAATCTTTTAATAAATGAATTACACAGTATTAAATTAGATTAGAATATCAGGGAAATAGCATAAAAAGTACAAATTGTATGAAATAGAAAACAACATGCTTTATTTGAAAAATAATAAACAAAATATTAATAAGTATTTACAATTACTATGTTAATACATTAAAAAAAAATATTATTTTTAAGTTTTTTATTTTTTGTTATTCTATTTTTAAATCAAGTTTACACAAACAACTATATAATATAATACGGACGATTTATGATATTTTACAAGACATTTATTAATATTTTAAAAACTTACTACCAAAATGTAACTACAAATATATTGATAGTTTTATAATAAAATGTATTCGTTTTTATCTTTTTACAAGTTGTACTTGTATTTTATTTTAAGAACAAAAATTTAAAAAAAAAAAATGATAATATATTAAGCAAATAATATGTATGAAATTCATTGATATTTTTAATTTTAATTAAAAAATATCAAATAAAATGCATTTATTATTCTTTTAATAAAAGATATCAAAATACATTTGCCAAAATTTGTTTTAATTTTCCCAAATATGCATAAAATATTTTTAACGTAATTAGAATATTTACGTTATAAAAAATAATTTTAAAAACACTTAAAATTCTTAAATAGTTTATTACTTTATTTATCAAAACGTTTATTATTTTTATTATATCAAGTACTTCCATAATATGATTTGCAAATGACAGAAATTCACAGAACTCTTTCTTATATGGAATTAAAACAATTTATATAGATTGTAGGCTCCATGTATTAAAATGAAAGAAATTAATTCTATCACGTTTGTCAAATTGTATTTTTCGGATTTTTTTGTTTTACTTATTTGCACTGTTCTGAATCTGTTATTGCAGTTTATATATTGATATTCCTTTCCTACTGCACAATTCACATAAAGGATAACAATACACTTCAGTACTAACATCCAATATGAATCAGAGGAAAGGGAAATGTAATAAACTGCCACAAATCTGAGTATTTAAATTATTGTATGCATTCAGTCAATATACTGAGCAAGCCAACGGAAACCTTCACCATATCCTTGTCTTTTCAACACTGAACACATAAATAATTCCAATGGACGACCAGGTATTTCACTGCGAGAAATCTTTCCCTAAAATTTATGTAATTTATATAATTATACATATTACATAAATTTAATAATTTATATACATACCTTTCCTGTTGTTTGACCATAAAGGTTGAAATAATTTCTAAGTTCATCTTCTGATGCTGCACCTGGTTTATCAATTTTATTACCTAGCACTAAAACTGGACATGAACTAAGTTGTTCATCAGTTAAAAGTGCATCAAATTCAGCTTTTGATTCTGGTAATCGTGATCTATCACTTGCATCAACAAGAAATACTATTGCATCCACTGCAGGAAAATAATCTTTCCAAACTCTTCGAGCTGTAATATATCTTATACTTTAATAAAATAACATTATAAAATATAAATATAAACAACAAATCAATTAATTATACCTTGGGGATGTCCTCCAAGATCAAATGTTGTGAACCTCATATTTCCAATGGAAAGTTCTTCTGAAGCTGAAGAAAAATATATACAATATTATAATTATAATAACTGTAATATATAATAAAATTATATATTACATGTAATAAAATACATTAAGTATAAATACAATTAATGAAATTAAATATCTAAAAAAAAAAAAAGAAAAAAAAATATATTATTTAAATATATAATACAAAACTAGAAAATAATTCATTGTAATAAAATATTAAATTATAGAATAATAAACAAAGTTAAAACAAAGTTTAAAAAAATTGTTATACATATCTCTAAATATATATAATAATTATTATTTTAAATATTAATTACTTGGATGCAATGTAGGCACATGTTGAGCTAGTCGATCATCTTTGAGCATATGAAGTAATGTAGTTTTGCCTGCATTATCTAAACCAAGAAACAAGAGTTTACCACTCTTTTTCCAAAGACCTAAAAATTAAAAACAAAAATCAAACTAAAAGCAATATTAAAAATTTTAAATAATTTTACAAAATTTATACATATTCATTTAAATATAAAATATAAATACATTTTTTATATATTCAAAAAAGGAATACAATAAAATCATTTATATTCATAAAATCATCAATTTACATGCACTTTAAACACATGTTTTATATAACATAAATTTATAATGTAAAACATAATAAAAGTTATACATACCAAGATAATTTAAAACTCCTGCAAACCAATCCCAAATGAACATATTTGTAGATATAAATGAATGTCAAGTCCACTGTGTACTAACTATTGAATGACTCTGCAACAATGATAAGTTGACAAGATTATCATCTTTAAGTAATTGTGCATAATAGTAGTCATTTTTAAATTTATTATAGCCTTCATATAATTTTTTTTAAATAATAAGAAAAAATATTATAACAAAATACAAATATCGATAATATACAAATAGTTATTTACAAGAAAAAGTAAAACATTAAATCAATAACCTTTATTACATCGAAGTCAAGAATGGTATTTAGAATATAATCGGTGGACGATTACAATTGAAATGCGATAGACTTACCAGATCTCACCTAATAACAGTTTTATGTTTCGTTCACCACCACCAAAATGCAAAATTGCAAGCGGGTCAGAAAAGCGTTCGCATGGTATAATTACACTAAATCTGTTTCTTTACCACTAATTTAACGTACCCTACACAAAAAATATACGAAGCTGCAAAAGATGGAGAAGAAGTGCTTTTCTTCTTATAAAAAGCACAACTTTAGCAAACCTATTTGGCTGGCAGTTGGCACTGATGACGTCTACTTCCGTCTGCCATATTGTCTAAATAGTGCTGTTTCATAAATGCAGATTTTGAGGTCAATTATATTTATTTTTATTTCATTCTTAAAATTATAATAATATA